TAGTATATTTGATATCAGCCTCTGAATGCAGATTTTCTTATATGTAACACCTACCAGAAAACATACACCATGTACTACAGTCTTTCACATTATTAATTAAAGTTTCCTGCCTAATTAATCAAAGCTTCCCATATCTTACCCCATGTTGTTGTCTTTCTAATCATCTCTCTTTTTAATCCTGTGTTTTTGGCACATTTTCTATATTCTTCCTTCTCTCTTCACAACATTTAGTTGCATTTCCACAACTGTTTCCATAGTATTAATTAGTCCTTTGACACATTTATTGAAGTGAGACAGTTTTTTAAATTGTAGAACGTAAGCATTTTAGCTAAACCAAGAAACACTGGAAAATAGTAACTTCTTGTCCTGAGAAACTCAGTTTGAAATTAAATCTTCATATTTATTTGTGAACTAAGTCAATGCTTCAGTGAAATATAATCGTATATATTTATATTCCTAGTAAGAGTAAGAAGTCAAATACGGATGAATGAATGAGATAGGTAAAGGTCTTGGCAGTAACAGAAATTGCAGTATGAACTAGCAGCCTAGCCCAATTTATAATCAGTTCTGGTTTTTCTCCATTGTGCATTGTGCTTACTAATATCTAAGCCATTGATACCCCAGCCAGGCTGACAGCTTAGGCCAGCACTTACATATGTTCTATTTGGGAAACATGTTTAATATAAAAGAACATACATGCCTTTGGTCAGGGCACACACTTGTAAATTCTCGATAGCCCTTGTCTTCACTTTTTTTTAAACCTTGTTTCCAAACCCCTGAAGCCATTTGAATTTGCCATCCCTAGTTTAGGACTACAGAAGATCTGCTTCTCCTTATTCTAATCTTCTGTCTCTTTATCAGTTAAAGTTGGTGAGTGTGAAGCTAAGTTAGAAGAAACTAGAGTGGGAGATAAATTTTGCTTTTTTTGTGCAAAGCCTATATATTAGTTGACTTTATTTTTAAAACTACGGTCAACTTGTTATATATATATACTAGGATATGTCCTACATAAAATTTCTGAAAGTATTTTCTAAGAGTCAAGTATAAAACTTCCTCAATAGGAAATATTTGTAAGACAATCATCTATTATTACATATATTTTAAAAAGCAATTTAGCCAAAAACAATTTTACCAGCTTTACCAAATATTTGTGTCAATATTAAATAAAATTGTTTAACTTATATATATAAAGTATGATTTTATTTTCTCAGTATTAACCATAGTAAACAACTTTTGTAAATGTACCCTCACAAAATACACTTATTTCTCATTCAGAAAGTGTATCAGCATAGTCTTTGGACATAATTAAAAGTAATTAATAGTGAACAGTTTAGGGATACAGAAAATATTTAGATGTAAAATACGGTATCAAAAACAGTAATCGGGAGGAGAGGAGAGTACAAATGTAAGTTTCTTAAAAATGCATTTGAAATTGAGATGAATAACTTAAAAGAATCATATATATAAATCATATAAATATATATATATATATGGGGGGAAGGGGGAGAGAGAGAGACTGCTATACAAAAACCTTATGATAACCACAAAACAAAAATCTAAAATAGGTATAAACACCAAAAAGGAAAAGGAATAAAACCATACCACTAAAGATTGTCATAAAATCACAAGGGAAGAAAACAAAAGAAGGGGAAAAAAGGATTACAAAAACAAATCCAAAACAATAAACAAAATGGCAATAAGGAGATACATGTCAATAATGACCTTAAATGTAAATGGACTAAATGCTCCAACCAAAAGACACAGAGTGACAAATTGGATATAAAAAATAGGCCTTATATATGCTGTCTACAAGAGACTAACTTCAGATCTAAAGACATACAGACAGAAAGTGAGGGGATTGAAAAAGGTATTCCAAGTAAATGGAAATCAAAAGAAAGCCAGAATAACAGTACTTATATCAGACAAAACAGACGTTAAAGATGCTACAAGGACAAAGAAGGATACTCCATAATGATCAAATGATCAATGCAAGTAGATATAATGCTTGTAAATATATATGAACCCAACATAGGAGCACCTAAACACAAAGGGCAAATATTAACAGACATAGAAGAAATCAACAGTAACACAGTAATAGTAGTGGACTTTACCGTGGTCATGTCAGTGGACAGATCATCCTGACAGAAAATCAGTAAGGAAACACTGGCCTTAAAGGACACATTAGGCCAGATGGACTTAATTGTTATATATGGAGCATTCTCTCTGAAAGCAGCAGAATACATTTTCTTTTCAAGTGCGCCTGGAACATTTTCCAGGGTAGATCCCAAAACAAGCCTTGGTGAATTTAAGAAAATTGAAATCATTAAGCTTCTTACCACATTGCTTTGAGATTAGAAATAATTGCAAGGAAAAAACTGGCCAAAAAATAAAAAAGTGTGGAGGCTAACCAATATGCTGCTAAACAACCAGTGGATCTCTGAAGAAATAGAAAATTACCTAGGGACAAATGAATATGAAAATTCAAAACCTATGGGATTTAGCAAAATCAGTTCTAGTAGGGAAGTTAATCATGATACTAGTTTACCTCAAGACCTAAGAAAAATCTCAATTAAACAACCTAACCTTAAACCTAAAGGTACTAGAGAAAGAGGCACAAAAAAACCCCCAAAGTTAGTAGAAGGAGATAAATTGGAAAGATAAGAACAGAAATAAGTGAAATAGAGACTAACAATAGAAAAGATCAATGAAACTAAAAACTGGTTCTTGGAAAAGATAAATAAAATTGATAAACCTTTAGCCAGATTCATCAGTAGGAAAGGGGAGAGGGCCCACATCAATAAAATCAGAAATGAAAAGAAGTTAAAATCAACACCACAGAAATAGAAAGGATCATAAGTTATTACTACTAACAACTGTGTGCCAATAAAATGGACAACCTAGACAAAATGGACAAATTTGTAGAAAGATACATTCTCCCAAGATTGAACAAGGAAGAAGAAGAACATATGAACAGACCAGTTACCAGTAATGAAATTGAATCAGTAATTAAAACCTTCCAACAAACAAAAGTCAAAGACCAGATGGCTTTGCAGGTGAATTCTAAACATTTGGAGAAGCGCTGACACCTGTCCTTCTGAAACTATTCCAAAAAATTGCAGAGGAAGAAACATTTCCAAACTCATTTTATGAGGCCAGCGTCACACCTGATACCAAAACCAGACAAAGATATTACAAGAAAATAAAATTAAAGGCCAATATCACTGATGAACATAGATGAAAAAAATTCTTGACAAAGGCAAACCATATCCAACAATACATTAAATGGTTTGTAAACCATGATTAAGTGGGATTTATTCCAGGCATGGAAGGAGTTTTTCAATATCTGCAATTCAATCCATGTGCTACACCACATTAACATACTGCAGAGTAAAAACCATACGACCATCTTTATAGATGCAGGAAAATCTTCTGAGAAAATTCAACATCCATTTATGATAAAAAAAACTCTCCAGAAAGTGGGCATAGAGGAAACATACTTCAGCATAATAAAGGCATACATGGCAAATTTCTGTGAACATCATACTCAGTGTTGAAAAGCTGAAAGCATTTCTTCTGAGATAAGGAATCAGACAAGGACACACATTCTGGTCAGTGTTACTCAGCATAGTTTTGGAAGTCCTAGCCACAGCAATCAGATTAAAAAAAAAGGAATCCAGATTGGAAAGGAAGAAATAAACTATCACTGTTTGCAGATGACCTGATACTATACAAAGAAAATCCTAAGTATGACACCAGAAAACTACTTGAGTTCATCACTGAATTCAGTAACATTGTAGGATATGAAGTCAATATACATAAATCAGTTGCATTTCTGTACACTAGCAATGAACTGTCAGGGAAATTAAGGAAACAATACCATTTACCATTACATCAAAAAGAGTAAAGTACCTAGAAATAGATCTGTCTAAGGAGGTAAAAGATCTGTACTTGGAAAACTGTAAGATGCTGATGAAAGAAATTGAAGATGACACAAACAGATGGAAAAATACACTATGTTCTTGGATTGGAAGAATCAATATTATTAAAGTGACCATACTCCCCAAGGCAACCTATAGATTCAGTGCAATCCGTAAAAAGGCAAAAGGGGAATACAGGATGGAATGAATCACAATGGCAAGAAATATTCTCAATGCTGCTTGTACCTTTTTAATTGTCTTCTCAATGAGCAGGTCTCCAACTGGCATTAGAATACCTCCAAACACAGCCAGGACTGCACCGATGACAGCGCCAGCGATGAGCCCACAGTTTCGGTCACAGACCATTTTTCTTGTTCAGGGAAGAAATTAAGGTTCAATACCTGCTTCTTTCAAACTCTCAGGTCCTTTTAAGGTGATTTCCAAGAGGTTGATTCTGTCATTAGATCATGAAAGAGAAGTTTAAATATCAGTACAAAAAGGTCAAAGTACAAGGAAAACATGCAGCTGAAACAGACCATTTTACCATTTTTAAATAAACAAATGCTTTTTTTTTCTTGTTTTACAAAACTTTGTAGGACTTCCTTCTCTGGCTTTGAACTACCTAGTAGTGGTAGAAATAACAAATATTGTAACATAGAGCATTTCTTCAAAATTCTCCTCTTTAAAATTTTCTTTCTATGTATGGTTAACACACTGAAATCTTCTCTAAGGAGAACATGCTTACTGTACTCTCACCCTCTGTTTACCTTTCTTCAGCCTGGGACATTTACTGGCATCTTCACCATCAGTTTGGCTACTGTACTCAAACACATCCATCTGCACCCTGCCTGGAGTTCTTCTGCAGACTGAATGTGGGTGGACTGATGTCTTTTCTTTCTAAATGCTGAGCAAATATGGGGACAGGTGTTTTCTTTATTACACCTTTTTCACAGATCCAGCAAAATCTGGATTTCATGGGAAATGACCTGATGTCTCAGAAGGAATCAGTTTTTCTAGTCATTTGTAAGCTACCTGTTAAAAAGCAAGAGTAAACAGGGAAAATACACTATTAGAAAATTAATATTAGAATACTCTAATATAATCAAAATTATAGTGACTATTAGAAGAAAATACCATTTTCTAGAATATTCAGTTCATGCCTAAATTTTTTCTTATAAATGGTGTTAAAAACATTGAAATATTTTAAAGCAGAGTAATTTATTTTCCGTATGATTTTTAATAACTGACTGTTGGGTAGTCTAAAGGTGAAAAAAACTGGATGAAAATATATCATGCAGAGGATGCCTAGTTTCTGTGATAAGTATTGGTTTCTTACTGGTCTTAAATATGTATTTTTAAACATACTCAAGTGCAATATTGTTCATTGTGTCATGGGAAACTAATCTGTGCCAATTCTGTAAATACCAGCTAGGTTGTGTCAGTGTATGTATTTCACCTAGTCAGTCTTATCTTTGGTATCTTTATGTAATATGAATATTTCATAAAGATTACGAGAAAACTCTTAGTGAAATGAGGATATCCTATTGTAACAAAGTTAAGAATTTAGTATTCTAATATTTGAAAACATATCCATTTGAGCTTTATTGGTTGCAACAGCATTTTTTAAAACGGGATTGCTAAATGTTGCTAAATTTTGCTAAAATGGATATATATGTATGTATTTTCCCCTTTGTAGATTCTGTGTCATCACCTAGTTGTGAATCTGACTTTTCCCAGAGTCATTCTCCTTTATTCAAGCAGCCCCATGGATTATAGGAAAGAGTTTCTGCAAGGGGGGCAAAGTCTCAAGAAAGTCCATTGGAAGGCCAGGGGACAGCATGTTCTCCAGTGCCTTCCTTTCTAAATCTGAGTACTCATTATTATGACTGCCAGGGACCCTTTGCTCAGAGATGTTAAGTTTAGGCAGACCTGGGTACTGCCTAGGCTCGTATCTGCTTTGCACCTGAACTCTTTCACTTGAGTTTTAACATAGCCCACTGCTATTGAATCAAGTTAATCAGAAAACAGAAGTGTTAGTAATTTATTCTGTTGAATTGTGTGGTTAGACAGTTTCTGGTCTTACACTGATCTAGATGATGTAGAAGCATAGATACAAGTATCATTCTAACAGTACTTCATACATACACTGATGTTTTTGAGAGGGAGAGATTAAGCTTACCTACTTTTTCAAATTTTCAACTGACTGACTCACTTTTGTTACCTTGATGTAAGTTTCCATTTTTTTTCTTTGAGACTAAATAAGATGTTTCACATGAGTGTAGTCCTCCTTTATCAGCAGCTTTGCTTTCTATGGTTTCATTTACCCAAGGTCACCTGCAGTCAACCAAGGGTGACCAAAAATTCGGAAGGAAAATCGTGGATGTGGAGGGGACTACTTAGGGTTGGTGTTATCTGTGATTTTAGCATCTGCTGAGGGTCGTGGAAGGCATCCCCCAACACCTGTGGATGTGGGGAGCTTGCTGTACTTGGGTTCTTTCATTCTTGCTTCAGCTGCTTGTCACCATGAGGAATTTAAGTATTGCTATCATAATCGTATTTTAACCTATGCTTCATACTACAAAATTACAAATATAATTGACCCTTGAACACCACATAGGGGTTACGGGCATGGACCCTGCACACATGGAAAATCCACATGTAACTATACAGCCAGCTCTCCTCATCTGTAGTTCTGTATCTGTGGATTCAACCAACTACACATCGTGGTTCAGGCAGTACTGTACTAAATATTGAAAAAAAATTTTTTTGTAAAAGTGTACCCATGAAGTTCAAACCTGTTTTGTTCAAGGGTCAGTAGTAGCTTTATTCACCTGAAGCTAAGGAGGGACAAATACATTATGTAGGACATACACTGAGTACATCAGAGGAAAGTTCAGATTTTTCAGCAATTTCTACTCAACAGCTTTTCCACCTATGTTTATCTTCAGAAATAAGTGTATTTTATTCCCACTCTTCTCTAAAATTTAGCTATTAAAAAATCTGTGTTTGAACACAGTTTTTTTTTGATAATGCAGTTCCTTATATAAAAAATTATTTTACTGCTAATTTTAGATTGTATTTCAGTCTTTATTATTTCTTGATAAGAAATAGACAGGACATTGATATCTGTAATAATTTGCTGCTTACTTAAAATGCTTAAATTTAGAAAACAAAAAATACTCACAAGTATAGAAATGAAAACTAATTATTGGGACTTAAAAAATTTAAAAGGCATTTTATATCACTAATCACATACCTTTCTTGAGTATAAGGAGATCAGCTGTATCCTATCAGTTTATAGAACTTAAATACTGTGCCTTTTGTAGAATTCATGAGTACATTTACATGTGGGCTATCTTTGAAAGAAGAAATAGTATTTTTTTTTTGCTGTCATATTAGTGGAGTTGTTCTAGAATGAATTTATGAGCATTATTCCTTTCCACTTTGTTGGAAACCTGAGGGGAGGAACTGAGACTGAGCTACAAGAAGCATCTCCAATAAGTAGGTTAGAAAATCAGAGAAAGATCCCAGAGAATCTAATTATTCCCATGTGTGGATGAAGCTGTGTTCCCTGGGAAACTCCACCTGGAAAAGACATGGCCCAGAAGTAAAATTCCCTTGGATGTGAGCTGTGAAACTTCACAACAGTTTCAGGTGACAGGATTACATTCTTGTACAATAAGTTCCTGTATCCATAAGAATAAATCCTCTCATCAGATTTTATTGTAATCAAAGAGGGCAGAAACTGTGGCCTTTTCTCTCCTTTCAGTCCCACCTTACTTGGTTTTTGAGTCTCACCACAGAACCCAAGGGCTCTGTGGAAAATGTTTAAATAACTACATTAGGAGATCTCCATCAACTTTTCTTACTGAAGTTACCATAATCTTCTTAATTTATGTGTGCATTTCCATCCTATCAGAATAAATGGAGGTAAAAATATGGTAGAAAAACATTTATAGACATCTGTAATATTCAACAATATGCTTGACTAAATTATGCTTTCCAATTATTACAGCTTAAACTTGTTTTGGTGGTGATCTTACAAAATTAAAACAAGTTCATTGGACTTCATATGTTATACTAAGGATTCCTTCTAGAAACAAGCACATCTTTTGGAGTACTTTTTGGAGTACTTGATTACAGAGATTACTATAGATTTTCAGTGATTCTCTTAGAGTCTTATTGGTTTAAATAGGATTATCTAGATCCATTCTTGAGTCAGACACAGAAATGCTATTACCTTTTTTTCCAACCTCAAGTTTTATTATAAATATTAAGATGGTATACTATTTGCATGAGTTATGAGTTACAATACTTGCTTTGAAGTCAAGTAATTTATGTGGATCTTAATATTAAGTCTCTATGATTATTTCTCTAGATGGGTATATTATATATCTTATAAGATTGCCAGTGTCAAATAAAATTAAATGAGATAATAAAAATTCCTCTCATAACACATTTTTATTTAAAATGTTAAGACATTCTTATGAACAGCTATAACAGTAAAATATTATTGCATATTGGCCAGTTATTTTTTAAAAATCTAATGAATGTATGTTGTTTACATAAACAGAAATGATTATTTGCACAACACTTAGATTACAATAAAATCTAATGAGAGGATTTATTCTTATGGATACAGGAACTTAGAATATTGTGCAAGAGAAAAGCAGTTTCTTGCTTAGAACAGTGCTTCTTGAAAATTTCAGCCATGGCTTGGGCTAGTGAATTAAAACACCTTGTGCTTAAATCAGAAAATAGTTACAGAATCAGTTTCTTCAGAAAGAAAAAATCCACAGGATTCAAATATGTTTGAGTAAACTTGGCCAAACATTTTCATAAAAGGTAAGGGTAGCAACTGTACTTCCAAGATGAATTCCAAAATTTTCACTGTACTGTCCAAGTACCTCTCTAACTGTAATTAGTAGATTCCTCCCAGGTTTACCAAGTATTTGGTTTATTGTTCTGGTCTAATAATGCTGAACAAAAAAATTATATGTATTTTTTCCTATCATAAAATCCAGTGGAACACTGGATTCTCTATGAAACAACAGTTTAAAAAATGTATATTTTGATTATTTTTGAACCAATATTAGAATCAATTTTGTTTTTGCTAATTTAAAACTACATAGCAAAGGACTGAAAAGTACATGCAAAGATTTTTTAAAATATCTTTCAAAATGTAACTTGATAATTCCGGAAACTGAGATACTCTATAAATAGAGTTTATGTCACGTACAGTTCTGTATGGATTCACTTACTATAGTAAAACTAAAACATTTAATTTCCCCAGAATGATTTATCGTTATTTAAACTTGGTATTATCACTCAAGAAAATAATTTGCTGATAGTTATAATACGCTTCCTTAAGTAACCTTGATTTATTTTTATTCTGCTACTAAATTTTATATAATTTTATGCAGACTTACTTAAGTCTAGAATCATTATCTAAAATTAATATAATGTACCATTTCCAGTAGCGATTACAATATCTTTCTTCATTTAAAAAGGCACTAAAGAACATATCTAAAATACACATTGCATTTAACTCTATAGACAGTCAGGTTCACCCAAAATTGTGCAGTTCAGACAAAAGTAAACAAACTACCTGACTTTGTAGAGTAATAAGTTGTTAACAATTGCACATTAAAAAGCATTTTGGCATAAGAGTGGCAAGACTTTCATAAGAGTTAATCCCATTATACTGATTTTTACTTACATTTATTTCCTTTCATAACTTAAAAATCATGCATAAATGGCCTAAGTAGACAGTGGAAGTTTTGCAGTAATCAAATTGGATTGTAAATCATTTAAAGTATTAACAAATAAATGTTTACAGATAAATGTAAGATTTTAAACATCAAGAAGTGAAATGTCATTGACTATTAGACAGGGTTTTAATACTTTTTGAACATAGAAGGTAGGAAGCTTCATAACTTGGAAAACAATACAAATTAATTTCCTATCACTTGTGAGAGAAATCTTTGTATTTAAACAAAGTCATTATGACTTACCTTTAAAAAGGCTAAGAAGGATTTTTCAATCAAGTGCTCCAACATTTGAACAGGCAATTCTTAGTAGGACCAAATGGTATTCTCCAGAAAAACCCTACACTGAAATCCTCATTACACAAAGTGTGTAAGTTTAAATATGCTTAAAAAAATTGTCAGGTCCCAGTGAATGGTTTGTTGCAAGAGGAACTAAAAAAAGGAAGAAACTAACATACATCCTACTACAGATGTGGCATTTAAGGGTCTGTTTTTGTTGTTGTTCTGGTGAGTGAAGCCCATAACATCTAAGACATATTTTTCTTTCTTTCTTTGAGGGTGGAGCCATCTTCCCATACAGGTGTATCAGAGGCAGAGAGACAAAATGAACTGACTTGCTGAGTGGCCTCTTAATGTACTCTGTTTAACTACACAGTCATTATTCCGGATAATAAACTCTGGGGTGGAAATTGCAGATGAGAGAATCATCAGAGTCTCACTTTCCTGCATGATTTAGCTTGAAAAACTGAAGTTTAAACGAAATGTGTTTTTCTATACAGCATTAATCTAAACTGTGTTGAACCTAATAATTGCGAAAACAATTGGAGGCTGTCAACAAGGATGACAAACAGACTTTAAAAAGGGAAATAGCCTATTGTTCTAACTGGAAGTTCTTCACTATTTATCACTTTCTGTTTTTTAAAAGTTTATGATCACAGCAAAATCCTTGTATGAAAACCAAAAGATTAAATTTCTCTTAGATTTATTCAGATAAAAAAATAACTATTAAATAACATTCAGATAGAAATACTATTCAGGATGACATTCTAATAGAAAAAAATATATTCTTATGTTACTTTAAAAGAAACTCATTATTTTAAAATCTAACCAAATGAAAGGTCCTTATCTTTGGGAGGGGAAAATAAAGACCCTCAATATTAAAAATACGTTATTATGAAAAAATTCCCAGAATCATACAGGCAAAGTCGAAATATTCAGTAGGTTGAACTATCATCTGTCAGACAGACCAGCTGAGTAAATGCCTCTAAGTCAACCTTGAAATACAGCAAGTTAACAGTAACAGTACGGAAATATATTTAGTTCATTAGGTCAGATTTAAACCAGCTCTCATTGCATTGCTTGTGCTGTCTCTTCTGGACATTTGTTGAACCCTTTCATTTGCTAGCACTGCAGTACAACTGGAAAGGAATTCAAAGCACTCTTTTTCCTCGAGCATTGCTGTCTTCTTCCAGGATATTTTTACTGACACATTTATTTTAAATTAATAATAAGTAATAACAATTTTTAGGTATATTGGGATTTTTTTCAAACATCAGACCACTTAATTAGGGTAAAGTAGAAATTGCCTTGCATAATCTCATTTTGATTTATGCTTTTCATTTAAAAAGAATAACTTAGATTTCAGGGAATTTAAAATGATGATTCCCTTGTAACTGTGTACTTTTATCTTTGCTGTATTAGTGAAAAGATAGGATAAAGGCTAATTTAATAGCCTTTTAACAATATTGATTGTATTTAAGCTGCTTTGATACATGTTCTTCTCAGCCTTAATTCTCACAAATACATATGCATACACACACCTTCCAGTGTGACAGTTCAGAAATAGCTCATCAACACAGGAGTTCAGATAGGACTTATTTTAAACAGCATATCTTAAATGTATTGAAAGGCTAGTTAAATTATAATGAAATTATAAACACTTAGAGAAAGATATTTCAGAAAAAAATACATGTGAAATAGATGCATAAGTTGACCTTGAACTTGGATCACTTTTTAATCAGTAGACTAATGCCATCCAGATCATCTGTCTGGAGAGGAAAATGTCATACCCTTCCATGAGCAGTCCAAAAAAGCAAATTTACATTCCCATAAGCCGCTGTTAAGTGTTCAATCCCATAGACGACCGTTTCTTAGCACACAAGACCCAGAAAAATAGAGAACTACGTAAAATCTGCAACCGTGTATTTATACATTGAGCAAAAATATTAACCTTGAACAGTAAGGCAGGAAAATGCTATACCTATTTCTAAATAATGTTGGGGTTTTCTATGT